TGTAGTGTAACATTTCACTTGGTGTAGGCCCTAGTGAAGGGTAGTTTCGAGACCCTTCGTGGTTGGGGACAGTGTGGCACTGTTCCACATCACTGTACCTCGGCTCTTGGGGTTTGTAGGAGCTGGGAGTCATTCCCAACTCGTAACCCTTGCTAACTCTTCCTATCTTGTGTTCTAAGACTATAGTGGCTGCCATAGTACCGTTCGTTGAAACCGACGCTGTGTCGTCAATTCTTTATCAAATCGTGCAATCGAAATTGCTAATTGTAGACGACGTGAAGACGCTCCAGATCCAATTTGAATCAAGTCATTTGCAGCTGTGAGCAGAACGCTATCAACGTTTGAATCCGCTGTGCAGAAATCCGTCTGTGCTCTCTATCTTTCGTTTTAGGCACATTCAAGCCTAAGGGTCTGCCAGGGAGACTGCAACCGGCCGACGAAGCGGCGTGAGTGTGGTGCGGTCTCGAAAGAAGGAGCGGGAAGCACCCGAGTCAAGGGTGAAGGTGTGCAAAACCTGGGCGGACTCGGTACCTGTGAGAGCAGACTCACCAGCACCTGGAGCAGCAGACTCACTACACCTAGAGCAGCAGACTCACTAGCACCTGGAGCAGCAGACTCAGTAGCACCTAGAGCAGCGGCCTCAATGCCCGGGTCAGGCGGAACACACAGGTAACAGTCACCCACAGCACTAGTAGACACAACATACATGGCAGCAAGAATAGCATCAAAGTCAAGATCAAAGATAGCTACACCCGACTTGAGCAGATCACCCCAGCGAGGGATCTCACAGGCGTCCGGGAACTGGATACTCCAGGCGTCCATCAGGCGGCCAAAGCAGCGCTGGGTGGCGTGCGGGCCACCGCACTGCTCACCAGTGCGGTCGCCTGTACGTAGGACGTAGGCACAGGGACCAGCACCCCCAGGCCGCTGGCGTGCAGCGTACCACTCACGAAGCTGCTGGGGCGACGGGATCTCACGAGAGCGCTGCTGCTGCTGGCGCTGACCACCACCAAAGTCTCCCCGCTGCACAGCTCCACCCCGACCAGCTCCACCTCCGCCGCCGCCGCCGCCTCCTCCACCCCCACCGCCGCCGCCGCCGCCGCCTCCACCTCCACCGCCACCACCGAAGCCCCCACCCCGCCACCACTCCCACCCCCACCCCCTCCGCCGCCCCCACCGCCACCACCGCCGCCCCCGCCTGCCCCCTTGCCCTTGCCGTTGCGGTGCCTCCCACTAGGAGCAGATGCAGCGCCGACCGACTCGGTGCCAACGAAGTCGAGAGCCACAGCAGAGGCAATAGAGGGCAAAAGGGGGACTTGGGAGCACCCCTCAAAGAAAGGGGCACGAGGGTCACCACGAGAGGCTGCTACAGCGACTATACTCTTCTCAGCTTCAAGAAGGCGCTCCTCGAGGAGGTCAATGGTGAGTGTGGTGGGGCAAACAGAGAGGAAGTGGTCCCTGACCGAGCGAAGGGAGTCAGGGAGCCGGGTGACTAGGTAGTAGAGGGTGATGTGCATGGGGGGGGGGTTCTTGGTGCAGAACTCAGCAGGAAGTGCAGCGCGGTAGCGGGTGTCACTAGTGCGGAGGTGCGTAATGAGGTCATCGACTGTGGCAAAGGCAGCGAGGTCAGGGAACAGGTACGGCAGCATGAGGCGACTAAGGGCAGCAGTGGCAGGGGAGGAGTAGCGTGCAACTACAGCGTCGTACAGAGTCTTAGCACTCTTGTACCGACTAAAGTGCGCACGCTCAGTGGACGGTAGGTGACTACGCACAGCAAGGCGGGCAGCAGCATCGCGCGTGTTCTACTGCGAGCGAACAGTACTGTCAGCATCAGCAGCAGGGGCAGTAGAGGCGCCAGACGTGAGATCGAACAGTGAGAGACTATCCTTGCTATCGCACTGTAGGAAAAGCTGCAGATCATCTACCCAGACCTCAAAGTAGACCGCTCGACCCGCAGCGTCGAATGTGAGTACATTAGGGTTTGCCATAGCAGCAGGAGCAGCAGTAGCAGCAGCAGCAGCGGCCTAGCGGCAGCATCAGCAGTAGCAGCACGACTCGGCAGGGCGGGGCGGTTCGGTAAGGCAGGGCGACGCGGGTGCAACAGCACGCGGGTGCGGCGGTGCACTTACCAGTGGCGGAAGAGGTGGGCCGCTACTGGTGGGGCTGGGCCGGGGCGCGTCAGCAGGGCAGGGGGCTGCCACAGGGAAGGGTCCGCGGCGAGGCGGCATGTCAGAGCCGGGGCAGATGAGTTTGACAATTGAGACACAAATGTCGACGCAGGAATGTACCCTTAGTGCATCGCTTCAAAACGAGGTAGCGCTCCTGTACCAGTATCGCGTTAAGCTCGTATAGAGCAAGTGGCAGCTCGAGAGTCACTCGAAGGTCAAGAGTCGCTAATTGTCAACGGTCGCGACTGTTGACCGCCCAGTAACCGTACTCGGATGTTACACGATGCAACCTAGTAACTGTCGAGTAGAGTAATAGTCGCAGTTACTGTAGCAACGCAATATAGTTAATAAGGGAATGTACCCCTCAGAATACATGGCTACCTAAAACTGCTATATAAAATGTCTTATATCTCTATCTTTATTATCTTGTTCTCTTTAATCATTATCAACAAGTTCATTACAAAGACTTCTATAGTCTTTTCACAAACTTGGCTGGCTTATCCTATCCACTACGATTCTTGGTTATATTGTCAGAAATAACGGGCAAGAATGAGAGACTAAAAAGGATGGATGAGTACAAGTAGGGCAAGGTCTAAACCTAAAAAGGCTGTACTTAGTAGAGGCTGCCCCACTACAGCCTACAACATAGAATCATAGTTTGATACACCCCCATAGGCAAAGTGGGGGATAGCAAACACAACCAACGGTCACAAGACCAGTCAAGCAAGAGAACAACGCAAAGCGAAGCTCAGGGTGTATCTCAAGATCACCACACATTCTGAGCACAAGCAAGCGGCCACAAGGCCAGTTCACATGCAGAGTTATAAAAGCACAAGCAGTACAGTGATCACAACCTAGCAAGAGCAAGCATGCAAGTATATATATAATATATATATATATTTATATATCTCACAGTACAAGACAAGTCAAGCAAACAGTAGGTGAGGCAGAGTAGGCACAAGGCCTAAAGCAGTGTAGAAACGCTGATGATCACCAGGCACAAGAGCCTTTGTGAAGACATCAGCAATGTTGGCCCGAGAGGGCACGTACGCAAGGCGCAGCTGACCACCCTGCTGCAGCTCCCGAGCAAGAGAGGAACGAAGAGCAATGTGCTTCGTTCTGTGCTCCAGTCATGGCCTAGTTGTCGACGTACAGAACTGGAGGAGAACGAGGCCGCTCACCCAAGTCATTCAGCAGGTAGGTCAGCCAGCGTAACTCCTGTGCAGCCATGGCCCCAGCATAGACCTCGGCCTCACAGCTGCAACTAAGCACAGAAGACGAACGAGTGGACCTCCACGAGACAAAACCAGAGTCGAGACAGAAAGAGTAACCTTGTGACGACCGCTGAGTCGCCTGGTCGTCGGCCCAAGAAGCGACGGAGTGTCCTGTGAGTACCACTGAACCCTGTCCTCCAAGCACGAGCCCCATGCTCGATGTACTGCACAAGAAACGCAGTACCCTCTGCGCAGCTGTCCAATGCTCCTTCCTCTGTCACCCGGGCGCGACGAAGCGAGCAAGGATGCTGAGAAGGTACGCGAGGTCAAGTCGTGTGCACATCATCAGGTACATGAGGCAGCCCACAAGCTCTAGATACGTACCACTCGGCTCTACGGACTCGTCCGAAGGTGGAGCTGAGAGCGAGTGGCCTGTAGGCAGAGGAGTGCGCTGTGGCGAGGAGAACTGAAAGCCAAAGCGCTTAAGGACTTGGTGCACCATGTGTGACTGAGTCAAAGTGATGGTGCGAGCGCTCTGTCCCAGGTGATCTGCAAGCCAAGATAGCTACGCAGCTCATCCTGGTCAGTGCACGTCTGTCTTTTCTACAACTTTGCCTTCACAAGGGTTAGCGCCTCAGTGTGGGCAGTAGCAAAGCTATGGAGAAGTCGAGGGAGTGCAGCTCGTAGTCAAGCTGTGCTGCAACGTGCAGTAACACCCGAAGATGGAGAGAAGGTCTGGAAGAAGTTGACCCCCTGTCGCTGATTGAAGCCTCGAGCAACGTAACGTGCCTTGAAGGCAGGCGGAGAACCCGGCGGCCACTTCATTCTGAAAATCCACATGCCATCGACTATGTTCACCCCAGGAGGGGGAACCTCGTCAACGTAAGTGCCTGTGGATTTCCAGGAAGCCATCTCTGAGTCCATGGCTGTCTGCCACTGAGAGCAATACTCGCCCGTGATCGCCTCTGCGTAAGAGCGCGGGGTGGGGATGTCCAGTGCATCCAGGTCTCCCTCAGGGAAAAGCAGCATGGACGCAAAACGGGGTAAAACGACTGCGAGACACTCAAGCTCAAACTGCCTGTCCTCAAGGACGTCACAACCAAGGGCAAGCTCACCCCCTACGGACGGAGGACAGACAGACTCAGACTCAGTAACAAGACTCGCGACGTATTCGAGACGCCGGGTAGCAGCAAAGTCGACGAGCTCAGTGACTAGGGCAAACACAGTAGTAGACTCAAAGGAAGGGTCAATGGCAATAGTAGCAAGGAGACGAGTGACAGTAAGACTAGCAGCACGAGCAAGGTCGGACTCGGGGTCAGGAACGGTAGGAAGAGAGGACGCCCGAGGAGAGGGCAGCAACACGTCGTGGAACAGAGGAAGGACGAAGTGTCATATTGTGCGTGCCAAGACTGGTAGAGGACGGGAATGACGAGCATGGCTGACAGTGCGAACAGGGGAGGCAGAATAAGACTTAAGCTCACGACGCTCTGCCAAGGAGCCTATCTGTGCCGGGTAGGGAGAAGGAGCAGGAAGTGGAGAGCCAGGCAGTAACTGCGTCTGTGACTGGTCAGGCAGAGGACACAGGATAGGCGGAGTAAGGCCAATGGACGACGGAAGACTAAGAACCTGACGAGTGCCGAGTCAGGCGGTGGTAGGGACGACTACGACTGCGGATAGAAAAACGGTCGGCGCGACGCAGTACCCGTACCGTCAACAACTCCAGCACCTCCAGCACCTCCAACTCCAGCACCTCCAGTACCTCCAGTACCACCAGCTCCATAACCTCCAGTACCTCCCGCTCCAGCACCTCCAACACCAGCAGCTCCAGTACCTCCAGCACCTCTAGCTCTAGCACCTCCAGCACAAGCACCTCCAGTACCTCCAGCACCTCCAGCTCTAGCACCTCCAGCACCAGCAGCTCCAGCACCTCCATCACCTCCATCACCAGCAGCTCCAGCATCTCCAGCTCTAGCACCTCCAGCTCTAGCACGGCTAGCTCCACCACCAGGGCTGCCCCACCGGACAGCTCACTCGCGAAGCTGCTCCGGCGAGAGAGTCTCTGCCAACGTGCACCAGTACCGCCAGCACTACCGTCTCCAGCACCAGGACCTCCAGCACCTCCAACTCCAGTACCACCAGCACCAGCACCTCCAGCTCATGTAGCCCCAGCACCTCCAGCTTGAGCACGGCTAGCTCCACCACCAGGGCTGCCCCACCGGACAGCCCACTCGCGAAGCCGCTCGGGCGAGAGAGTCTCCGCCGACGTGCACCAGGTTCGCCAGCACTAGCGTCTCCTGCACCAGGACCTCCAGCACCTCCAGCACCTCCAGCACCTCCAACTGCAGCACCTGCATCTCCTCCTGTACCCGTAGGACACTTAGCACCCCCAGAACCAGCACCCCCAGAGTCCGCGCCCCCAGTGTCACCACCTCCAGCAGCACCAGAGTCCACAGCGACTGGCTGCCGAGATGATGAAGACGGCCGAGGCGGAAACCCAGGAGTGGCCGCCAAGCGCGCTGAACGGCGAGGGGCCACTGTGTCGGTAGCAGTCGGGTCACCCCCCTCGGCTGGGCCAGAGGTGTCAGAGGAGACCTCCAAAGGCTCAACCAAGGGGGGTGGGTCTACCTGAGACACACCCGAGGGAGCAGGACCCTATGGGGGGAGGGGGGCTACCTTGGGGCGATCACGTACCAGGAAGAGAGGCGGGAGGGGCACGGGGGAACTGCGGTGGGGGTGTAGACGGTAGAAGCAGACAGACTCGTCAAATGTAACGTCCTTAGAGGAGAGGACACGATGAGAACCTGGGTGGTAAAACTGCCAGGGCAGGGCGTCGGTAGGGAAGCCAAGGAAGACGCGGCGAAGAGTGTGAGGAGAGAGCTTGCCCGCGAGAAGATCGCGGACACGAGCAAGGGAACTCCAGACCTGAAACAATGACGCATCACCAACCTCTCCCGTCCATCGTAGAGTAGGGGAGGTCTCCGAGTGTGAGACACGGGGCCAAAGGTTGAGCTGCTCAGTGGCATATCGGACCGCAAACGGTCACAGAAAATGGGGAGCAGCCGCATGGACGATGGAGCTGCGATCAACGTCCATGACCAAGCCAATGCGTCGCTTTGCAATCCCATTCTACTTCGGAGAGGCTGGAAGCGTGAACGACTGGTGGGCCCTCAGCACCACAGAAGTCATCAAGGAGGCGGGAGAAAAACTCACCACCTCGGTCAGCGTGCAGCCACAGGACCGGGAGGTCCTGCCGGAACCGAGCGCTGAGCTGGCGACAAACGAAACGAATCCAGCGGATCAACACACCGCGGACACCCGCCTTGCTCTGCAAGGGGAAGACCGTGGTGTAGCGCGTGTAGTCGTCAACAACCAGCAAAAATTAGCGCTCTTCGCCCTGTCCAGTGACGCGGTTTGGACCCCACACGTCCATGTGGAGGGTCTGCAGAGGAGCTGTGGTCGGAGGAAACGAGGAGGAGTGAGGAGCAGCACGCTGCCGCCCCTTGACGCAAGGAAGGCACTGCGACGCAAGCGACCTCGGGAGTGGGGGCAGGGACCTGGGGAGGCCAGAAACAAGGAGACGGGAGTGTATGCCAGGCAGGCGTGGCAAGGAGGGGTGACAAAGACGATGGTGCGAGAGGAGAGTCTGGTGCGTGAGGAGACGACACGAACAAGACGCAGCTACCTCAACTGACGCAGCTACCTGACCTGACTCAGCCACCTGTGCAGACTCAGTGGTCGGGGTGTATAGACCAGACCCGGGCCTCCGAGTGAACGTGGCGAGGTGCTCGCCAGTGCGTGAGTCCGTACAGATCGCTACGAGCTCTCCCTCAGGCTGGGTAACTATGACGAACTGGTCCTGTAGGACAGCTGACGCCACGAAGTTCCTAGCGAACGAGGGGAGGTGGAAACCTATGAGGGAACCGGAGGGGGCTGTGGGACACGGGAGAACAGTGGAGTTACGTGCAACAACTAGGCCACCAGAAGGGTCGGCCAGAGTGACAGGGACAGGGGCTGTGGGCGGTGTGACTGTGGTGCAATCGCGGAAAAAGCAGCGAGACGCTCCGAAGTCGAGTAGGAAAGTGTGCAAGGCCTCCTCAGACTCTGCACCTGTGCTAGCTGAGTCATAAGCATCTAAACTAGTAGCCTCTACACCACCAGGTGCCTCTCCACCCCCAGCACTAGTACCCCAAGCTCCGCCACCGGGGCTGTCCCACCGAAGAGCCCACTCACGAAGCTGCTGCGGTGAGAGGGTTTCAAGCTGACGCTGCTGTCACTGCTGTCCACTCCCAGAACCTTTGCGTCCACCAACGGCATTACCAGTAGGAGGAGACTCACAGGTACCTCCAGTAGTAGCACCACAGGCTCCGCCATCAGAGCTGCCCCAGCGGACAGCCCACTCGCGAAGCTTCTGCAACGAGAGCGTCTCCTACCGACAAATACGAGCAACGCGAGCACCAACACCTCTAGCTCTAGCACGGCTAGCTCCGCCACCGGGGCTGCCCCACCAGATGGCCCACTCGCGAAGCTGCTGCGGCGAGAGAGACTCCTGCACACTCGACTGCCGCTGACGTAGGATAGTGGTAGTGGCCATGGTAGGCAGAGGCAGTTGTAGTAAGAGTGGTGGTGCCAGTAGGATGAAAGCGGGCTAAGGGTGCTCAACGGGCTACTGGAGGAGCACACTCTAAGGACGCGCCACGGGTAGAGAAACGGGCAGCAGTTGAGGCGCGCCACGAGCAGAAAACGGCCACCTCCTAAGCTGCAGGGCGCACTGGTTGCAGGGCGCGTGAGCTGCAGGACGGTGCGCGGGCTGCAGGTCAGGGCAGCGTGCGGGCTGCAGGGCAGGGCGGCGCGGGCTGCAAAGCAGGGTGGCGCGCGGGCTGCAGGGCAGGGCGGCTCGCGGGCTGCAGGGCAGGGCGGTGCTCGGCCCGTAGGCAGGGTGGCGCACGGGCTGCAGAGCAGGGCGGCGCGCGGGCTGCAGGGCAGGCCGGCTCGCGGGCTGCAGGGAGGGCGGTGCGCGGGCCGCAGCGCAGGGTGACGCGCGGGCTGCAAGGCAGGGTGGCGCGAGAGCTACAGGGCAGGGCGGCACGTGGGCAGCAAGGCAGGGCGACGCGCGGGCTGCAGGGCAGGGCGATGCGCGGGCTGCAGGGCAGGATGGCGCACAGGCTGCAAGGCAGGGCGGCGTGCGGGCTGCAGGGCAGGGCGGCGAGCTGCAGGGCAAGGCGGCGCGCGAGCTGCAGGGCAGGGTGGCGCGCGGGCAGCAGGGCGCGCGGGCTGCAGGGCAGGGCGGCGCGCGGGCTGCGGGGCAGGGCGACGCGCGGGCTGCAGGGCAGAGCGGCGCGCGGGCAGAGCCCAGGGCAGGGCAGAGCGCGTGCAGGGCAGCGTGAGGGACGCTGTTCGGGCAAGGTAGGTTACGACCGAGCAGGGCAGTTTGGGCAGTGCAAAGGATTAACGGTGGACCCTAATAGAGCAGTCCTATAGAGGGACCTGCTCTGAATACCATGTCAGATATAACGGGCAAGAATGAGTGACTAGAAATGATTGATGAGTACAAGTAGGGAAAGGTCTAACCCTAAATTGTTGTACTCAGTAGAGGCTACCCCACTACACCCTACAACATAAAATCATAGTTTAACATATATCAACATGGTATGAGAGCTAGAGTGGATGATAAGATCTGCCAAGTCTCTGTTCTTCTCAAAACAATCCTTTATTAACGCATCCTTTATAAATACCTGTTACAAGTCTGCATCGCTATGGCTCCTCAAGGACAAGCTACTGCAGACTCTCCGGGCCCACCACCAGCAACAACCAATGCACCATCAGCGGTGACCTTCGTCAGCACCGCCATCGTCGGGTTGCTCGCATCAACGCTTTTGAGAGCCATCAAGCGATGAGCATCGATGGCTCGAGCTACGTATTGCGAATATGTTTGTATGGTTATTATTATGAGCTACACCAGGGCCTCTGATTGGTTCTTGAATACCCTGATTGTGAAAGCACGACAGCTTATGCTGGCTTTGCTAGCTTGCCTGGACTTTATTACGCTATATCTAGCTTGGGTTTATTTTATCATGCATAATTATGCTTGATTTCCTAGATTAGGTGCATTCCTATATTTTATTATAGCTATAGCACCGAACCAGGTCACGTGTACCGAACTCAAGCCTATTCGGTTTCCACCGAATTGCTTTCTACTGAGTTCGGGAAGGTTCTGTTTGGGGCGCTTCCCGACCCTCAGAACATTCGCGTAACACCTAGGTAACTGGCCTTGTGTCGAGACTATATTTAGCATCGTGTTGTACCCAGGTGAATCATTCAATTCAAACTCTCTTGGACAACAACAGGAAAATACTGGAGCTGCGAAGCTGGACGGATACAGGGAGCGTTCCTGAAACGACACTGGCACGTTTCGAACGGATGGTGAACTGTCAGAATGAGAGAAGACATTTGCACTAAGAAAAGAGGTTGGGTACATATAGGAAACCCTAAACTTATTGTACTCTATAGTAACTACCCCACTACAGCCTAAACAAACTGTAGCACATATAACATTTGACACACCCCCATAGGCAAAGTAGGGGAGAGCAAGGGGTCACAAGACCAGTCAAGAAAAGGGCAAGCAAGCTCAGGGTGGATCACAACGTCACCACACTCACTGAGCACAAGCAAAGGGCCACAAGGCAAGTTCACATGCAGAGGCATATATGTAACACAAACATCACAGTGATCTCCACCTAGTAAAGCAAGCATGCAGGTGTATATATATATAGATCACAGTACAAGTAAAGCCTACAGCAAGTGAGGAAAAGTGGGTACAAGTCCTAGCACAGTGCAGAAACGCTGATGATCACCAGACTGAAGTGCCTTGGTGAATATATCAGCAGTGTTGGCCCGAGTGGCCACGTAACGCAGACGAAGCTGACCACGCTGCTGCAAGTCTCGAGCCAGGAAGTAACGCAGAGTGATGTGCTTCGTTCTGTGCTCCAGTCTGTGCTCCTCACACAAGGCAATGGCAGCCTTGTTGTC